GTTAAATCTGCAGCAATCAACCTCGAATATTCATATTGGCAAAGATAAAGACGTTTGTCCAGAATCGTCATTATTTTACTGTGAAAAACTTTCCTCAACACAGGTAGGTCTTGCTATTGAAACTAGCAATCCCCATGGGCTGTAAGCCTAAAGTCCGCTCAGCACAATAGAACACTAGGGGCTGACACGACTGATTAAAGCCAACCTGTTTTACTAAGCAATATTACGTTCAGTATTTTGCTAGTGCTCTGTGGTTAAGTCGATGCGAACGCTTCGTAATGCTGGGATGCCGTATTTGATCCCAACTGCGGGCCATGCGCCTTACGTTGGTTTCGACAGTTGTATCATGAAAGCTGGCCGTCTAGAAAGCAATGGCAAGCTACTGGACGTAAATTTGCCTAGAAAAACAACACAACAACCAGGGGCTGTTGAGGTTGGTTCTGCAAGGCCCTGTAAAGATACATAACTAACCTAACCATTTTGCTAGTACTGTATCAACGGTCGGCTGGCGATATCACTGTTGACAAACAACGCAAGGTTGTCTGCTGCCGAATCTCCTGCAGCTGGAATCGAACCTGGCACCCCGGAATTACAAAGCACGTTGACGACGACTAACTACTGGTGCTGCTGCTGCTGCTGCTGTTGCCAGTTCTAACGTCATTCATCATAGAAGGTTCAACAATTAGGTAATGAGACTAATTCCAAAAAAATTAAAATAATTAACAGTTAAAGATATAACCTGTATTTTATTCAAAGTAAGCCCCTTGTGCAATGATACAGCAAGTGGCACGATCTAACATACACGGAAGGAACTCTCTAGTTCTTTTGTTGTTTTGACCCTTAAAGTCGATGTTGCGGCTCTTTGGATGACATAAATATCGTACAAGAAGCGTCCTTTCAATCGTAGCTTTAATTTTGCGAATAGAAAATAATCACAGGGAGGCAAATGTTGGGAACAGGGCGGAAGGATGAGAACACACACTTGTTTTTGGGCCAACAATTCTTGTTTTGATGATGTCTCTTAGGCACTTAACCCGCTGAGGTTTTTATTCATCAGACAACGAATGTGGTACAAACCGGCCTAGCTAATTTTGTTCCCAAAATCTTGCACTCAGATTTTATGAATGGTCTCTCTATTAAAACTAGATTCACCTGCCATCATCCTCACAGTAAAACAATGATCTTCTTGTATCCGTTCTCTCACTTTTGTAAAAAGTTCACATTTACGAACAGAAATTTGGCGTCCAGGTCTAGGTGCATTAGTAATAATTTCCACACCATTTTTGAATCGTGAATACCACCTGAAAATGTGTGCACGAGATAAACAATTATCCCCCAAAAACTTGCTGCATCAGTTCAACTGTTTCAATAGTGTTTTTTCTGAGTTAAAAAAAAAAAATTAATCTTAGCATTTTGTTTCGTGCTGATTACGTAACAATGCACCTCTGACTAGGTCAACAAAATGGCGACTTGTTTGTTGTCTGCTTATCGAGCGGCGAAGAAAAGTTGCCAGATCATAGCTGAATGTTGCCTTTTTAGATTCCATGCTATGCTTTGTAGATGGCATTTTTGTCTTTGCCCTAATAAAATCAGTCTCATTACTTAATTGTCAGACCTTGTAAGTTAAAAAACAAAGAAAAGGTCCCTTTTCCATGTCTTTGGGCGTATAAGGCATTTAGAGCTGGACTTACATTTTTATATACCAATGGGCACAAGGTGGGTGATGAGGTCAGCATCACGCCTTTACTTCACGGGACTGCACCCCGTACACACTCATTGGGTCGACCTAGGAGTCAAGGTCATTTTTAAAAAAAAGTTCGGTTCCGCCAGGGAGCGAACCCACGACCTTCCGATCTGCACGCGAGCGTATAGCCGCTACGCCACGGCGAATCCTATCTTTCATCATATCGTAATCATTACCATAAAAGTAGCTGAGTGGTTCCTTTTCTGCTCGCAGAGACAAAGGCCCAGACTCAGTTACCTGGAGTTAAAGACAACCTCATTGAAGATAATAACCCTGATGTGTGAGGTCACCCTTCTGATATTATAAGACACCACATAATGCGGTGAGATTTCTAGTTTCATTCCTCACGGATTGTATTTTACAGTCAACCATTAACGACCAAACCTCTAACAATGCTTTTTTCCCCTTCTTTTTTTTCTTCTTAACTTGTTCTTTTACCGCTTTCGGATATGCAGGTAGATGTAGAGTTCTACTTCTCGTTCTTCTGGCGGTCCCAACCATAGACACATAGCTCTGTTGATGAGTTTCTCAAAAGTGATCCATCTTGTTCTTGGTCTAACTGGTGTCCCCTGTATTTCTCTTGTCGTGCATGCCCTGCATGGCACTTCATGCCCTGCATGGCACTTTATGCCTTGCATGGCACTACATGCCTTGCATGGTACTTCATGCCTCGCATGGCACTTCATGTCTCGTATTACACTTTATGCCTCGCATGGCACTTCATGCCTCGCATCGCACTTCATCCCTCGCATGGCACTTCATATCTCGCATGGTACTTTATGCTTCGCATGATTTTTAATTCCTCGCATGGTACTTCATGCCTTGCATTGTACTTCATGCCTTGCATGGTACTTCATGCGCTGCATGGTACTTTATGCCTTGCATGGTACTTCATGACCTGCATGGTACTTTATGCCTTGCATGGTACTTCATGACCTGCATGGTACTTCATGCCTTGCATGGTACTTCATGCCTTGCTTGGTACTTCATGACTCGCATGGTACTTCATACATTGCATGGTACTTGATGCCTTGCTTGATCTCTCATGACCTGCATGGTACTTCATGCTTTGCATGGTACTTCATGCCTTGCATGGTACTTCATGACCTGCATGGTACTTCATGCCCTGCATGGTACTTTATGCCTTGCATGGTACTTCATGACCTGCATGGTACTTCATGCCTTGCATGGTATTATATGCCTTGCATCGTACTTCATGCCTTGCATATTACTTCATGCCTTGCATGGTACTTCATGCCTTGTTTGGTACTTCATGCCTCGCATAGTACTTCATGCATTGCATGGTATTTTATGCCTTGCATGGTCTCTCATGACCTGCATGGTACTTAATGCCTTGCATGGTACTTTATGCCTTGCATGGTACTTCATGCCTCGCATGGTACTTTATTCCTCGTTAGGTACTTCATGCCTTGCATGGTACTTCATGCCTCGCATGGCTCTTAATGCCTCGAATGGCACTTGATGCTTCACATGGCACTTCATGCCTCTCATGGCACTTCATGCCTCGCACGGCACTTTATGCCTCGCATGGCACTTCGTGCCTCACATGGCACTTCATGTCTCGCATGGTACTTCATGCCTTGCATGGTACTTCATGCCTCGCATGGTACTTCATGCCTTGCATGGTACTTCATGCCTCGCATGGTACTTCATGCCTCGCATGGTACGGCATCATAGCGTATTTTATTCAAAGGGCAAATCATTTGATTCTCAGTATTTTTATGCAATTTAAAATTAGTTATGTGCTGACTTGTTACTATTATAACATTATTTCTGGTTGTATCTGTTATGTTTAGCTCTTCTCAGACATCACGAATAAGGATAAACAGGTCTTCATGCAGTGCGTCAGCCTCGAGTGCTGGATGTGCTGGGTTCCTGCCCCGGTGAAAGGAGTTTGAAATCGAGAAGAGCAGTTGGAGTTAAAAATCTACCCAAAGTATTTCAGTAACCTCGCGGGCGGTAATCACCATAGAGTTAACCAAAATTTTTAACCTAGTATATTTTCAGGAAAAAGAAGACCACGGAAACTACCACAAGGCCACCCGACGCTCCGAAGCAGATAGCCGAGGGCATTGCACCTAAGGGGACCAGCACTTGGGAATTCCAGTCTCCATCATGCCACCCCACCCCACATGTATTTTAACAAATGCCTTTCACTTTTATTTCAGACCAAGGGACCTCAACACACCAGGGTGGATCCTACCTTTATCTGTCACTCTCATTCTCCCGATCTAACTATCACATCTACTGGCACATTCGAGCAAATATGATCTCTCATTTTCAATCTATCTCACTTCCACTACTTCCCCACACTCCGTGAAAAAAAAAAAAACAACGGGCTGATCACAACAACAGATTGTGACCGCCCTGGTATTCTTGAAAGGGAACATTGTTTATGACGACGTGGACCGATGTTTGTTTGGCTTTTTCCGGCGGCTTACAGATCGACAACCAAGCAGCAACAGGGCACCAGCACAGCGACGAGCACGAGGCAAGCCAAGCACCAGCAACAGTCAGCTAATACCCGTAGATACAACCACAAAGAGATCTGGCCCACACCAGACCAAAAAACCACAAGCAGCACAGCAAGGAAGCAAAGAACCGTAATATCAGGTGTGACTACACACCACAAATAAAAGGAAATCAAATAAGACAGCAAAGTAACCTTCCTCGATAAAGCAGGCCTTCGTGGGGGCTGAAAAAGGATCAAATTTGAAATTTTTGTTGGACGAATTGGAATTGGGAATAGGCTACAGACTTCGTGCAATGAAATTATTCTGACTTAGACTTGACTTAGAAGTAGAACAGGGCACTTATGGGTTACTATCCTTGTGCCATGATGTTGATCCCTCGTGTAAACTTAACCTAAACATAATGATAAATTATAGATTATCATCGGTATCTATAAATCTGCTTGCCTGCCTAATACTAGTCACATCATTGCGCTGATATTATGGGCAAGTACATTTTAACCTTATTATAAGTTTAGGACAGATTGGGTTACTTAACTTACTAAGATAAAGCCAATCAGTTATATCGTTTTAAACTAGATTGATCTTTCATAATTTGGTCCTCTTTTTCAAACTGATTAGTGAACACTTGAGGATGATTGAACCAGAGCTGATATAGCTAATATCTGGGAGCCGTGTGCGGACTTTACCATTCTTCTCTCAGGCTTCAGACTGCGAGTTTGTGGACCTCCGTTGCTCTGTTGTTGCAGAAGCTAAACAAAAAGATGATGCTGTTGTTGGTGATTGCTGCTGTCGTTTGCGTTGCAAATGCGGCTTTTCCTTGTCAGGCACCAGGCGAACTATCGGTAAGTAATCATAGATATGCGATGTTTGTTTTCTGCCATTTGTGTTTCTTTGCAAACAGAGCTGATTAGGGGAAAATATTTGTTTCTTTGTAATTGCTATTTCTCATCAAAGAGTCATCTAAATTGGTTCTTCCTCAACAACGTGTTATGTCTTCTCATGCTGTTTCTACATTTGATCAGATCACACTAAACAAATCTGGCTTTAATAGTGCACATTTAGTTTCTTCAAAAGCTATGCACTCTTCTGCTGTGAAGTTGAGGACATCGACTAGGTATTAATCAACCAACCATGTGATACGTCAAACGATGAATGTCTATGAACAGATGGGACTAGCATCAGTTGCCAGATATAACATAAGACATACAAGAAAACTATTTACTCTATTTCTTTCATGGACAATTTTATTTTAATAACTGAGCCTTCCGCTACTAAAGTAGCTATGCTAAAAATTGTATAGCTCAGTGATTCCCAAACTGTGGGCCGCGGTGCCCGGAGGAGCACAGGGGCGCCGCGAAATTTTAGAAAATACACGAGTTTTTTTTGTAATTTTCTATTTTTTACATAGAAAAAAAAATGTAATAAAAAAAAAAGTTGTCGTGACTAAGAAAACTTTGAGAAACACTGGTATATTTTCATTGCAGATGCATACAATCTGCTTCTAATTCCCGAATGGAGCTGATTTTCCTTAAATATGTGCTATATCCAAGGACACGAATAAATCTAACTTTCTGATAATGAGACTAGAAACTAGTAACACAGTAAAACACTATACATCACCACATAAACGTTTCTGAAAAAGTTTACCTGAACAATTTTCACAATATAGAAACTATATATGACAGTGGAAGATCAAGACAGTCTATGAGCATAACTTTTACATTATAAAGGTTGTTGCGTATCCTTTACAGGACGTTGCAGAACCAACTCTAACAGCTTCTGGCTGTTGTGTGGTTTCTCTAGGCAAATTTACGTCCTGTAGTTTGCTATTGCTTTCTGGGCGGTCGGCTTTCTTGATTCCACTGTTGAAACTAACGCAAGGCGCATGGCCCGCAGCGGGGATCGAACCCGGCATCCCGGCATTACGAAGTGTTTATATATAAATATATATTTAACCTGCTCCCTTTGCGTATCAGAACACTTTGTGATACGCAGGTTACACTAAATCGACATTCCTGGTCAATTAGAGAATCCCTATCTGTATGGATGTATGAAAACACCACCATTGAGCCACCCGCCGCGAGCGTGCTTGACACTCCGCTATGGCGATAACAGCGAAATGTAATCATGCAGACAAATACAGAAAAGAACGGAAAGGTTTGCTGTATGGTAGACACTAAGCAGAAGTAGTAGTAGTAGTTGTAGTAGTAGTAGTAGTAGTAGTAGTAGTAGTAGTAGTAGTATTAGTAGTAGTAGTAGTAGTAGTAGTAGTAGTAGTAGTAGTAGTAGTAGTAGTAGTAGTAGTAGTAGTAGTAGTAGAAGTAGTATCCCTATTAACTGTGGTGGTGTTGGTAGTAGAAGTTAGTAATAGTAGTTGTAGTAGTAGTAGTAGTAGTAGTAGTAGTAGTAGTAGTAGTAGTAGTAGTAGTAGTAGTAGTAGTAGTAGTAGTAGTAGTAGTAGTAGTAGTAGTAGCAGTAGAAGTAGGAGTACTAGTAGTAGTAGTAGTAGTATTAAGTAGTTGTAGTAGAAGTAGTAGTAGTAGTAGTAGTAGTATAGTAGTAGTAGTAGTAGTAGTAGTAGTAGTATTTGTATCCCTATTAAATGTGATTGTGTTAGTAGTAGTAGTAGTAGTAGTAGTAGTAGTAGTAGTAGTAGTAGTAGTAGTAGTAGCAGTAGAAGTAGGAGTAGTAGTAGTAGTAGTAGTAGATAGTAGTAGTAGTAGTAGTAGTAGTAGTAGTAGTAGTAGTAGTAGTAGTAGTCGTATAGTAGTAGTAGTAGTAGTAGTAGTATTTGTATCCGTATTAAATGTGATTGTGTTAGTAGTAGTAGTAGTAGTAGTAGTAGTAGTAGTAGTAGTAGTAGTATAGTAGTAGTAGTAGTAGTAGTAGTAGTAGTAATAGTAGTAGTAGTAGTAGTAGTAGTAGTAGTAGTAGTAGTAGTAGTAGTAGTAGTAGTAGTAGTAGTAGTAGTAGTAGTAGTAGTAGACAGGGCTTTCTTCCTTGATGTCGATACTCGCTACAAAGTGTCTAAGAAGGTAAAGGTACACACCGCGGTACTATTCTTTTATATCATCCTATCTCGTTGCTCTGATTTTCCTTCTTTTTTCGTTTGCCTGCGATGGATTATCTACATCTGCAATGTTGTATCTTTTGTGAACTTCACTGGCTTATGTAATTCACTCATCGACCTGTGAAGTTCAGCTTCAGCTGGTGTTTCTCTGGGCCAGAAGTTAGAGAGAGGATGCCAATCAGAAATATTTTGGGGACGGGCCCAGAACGGGGCCATCTTTTGGTGGAGGCGGCTAAGAGCCCTGAAAAGGACCCACAGTCCACATGCAAACTAGTTAATTAGGTTTAGTTAGGATTAGGATTAGGTGCAGAAATGCTGGCAGGTAGAGAAAATTCATGGCGAAGGCGAGATCTCTTATGCACACCGCTTTGAAGCAGGGCACAGTCAGGGAAAACACCCCAATCAACCAACGCCTAACACCTGAAGGAAAAATGGAGAGGGAGAGGAGGAGAAGCGTGGGTAGAGGAGAAGGTGGGAGTAGGAACAAGAAAGGTGGAGAGGAGCTGAGAAGGGGGTGGGGGAGTAAGTGATGGATGAGAGGGGGGAGGAGGAGAATCAGGGAGGGAGGAGGAGAAGGGGCGGCAAGGAGGAGAAAATGGGGAGGAGAAAGGGAGAACTAGGAGGTTTAGATTTAGGGAGGAGAAGGGGGAGGAGGAGAAGGGGGGAAGGCGAGATCTCCTTAGGAGGGAGGAGAGGAGAAGGGGGAGGAGGAGAATGGGGATGAGGAGAAGGGGGACCTTCTCGAGAAGGGTGAGGGAGGAGAGAGGGGGAGGAGGAGGAGGGGGAGAAGAAGAAAGAAGAAGAGGAAGAAGGTGGAGGAGGAAGAAGAAGGAGGAGAACGAACGAGGAGGCTTAATTTTCAAAGGAGAATTTGAGAGGAGGACGCAGGGGAAGGACTTATTCTCCGAGGAGGAGAATCCTCGTTTTTCTCAGAGAGAATTTTTCTATCTTCTCCATGTTTTCTGAGGACGAGGAGAAAAAGAAGAAAAAGAAGAAAATAATTATAATAATATTATTAATAATAATAATAATAATAATAATAATAATAATAATAAGAAGAAGAAGAAGAAGAAGAAGAAGAAGAAGTAGAAGAACGAACGAACGAACGAACAAACTTTATTTTCAAAGGGTTACGAATGGGCACGCAGGCCCGTCTGACATTCGGCCCTTCTAAGCACTAGTTTTTCAGAGTACCAATGGCTGCTATCTAAAATGCATGTTATGGAAATAAGAAGAAGAAGAAGAAGAAGAAGAAGAAGAAGAAGAAGAAGAAGAAGAAGAAGAAGAAGAAGAAGAAGAAAAAATAAGATATTACGAAAAGGAGGGGTGGGGAGGGGGAGGACGAAGACAACAACGAGTCAAATGAATATAAGAATTATCGTCAGGCAGACGATAGCTAAAACATATGCGGGCCCAGACAAGTTCAGGGACAAACCGATGAACACATATCTAGAGATGCTTTTATCTCTGTTTTACTTACACTGATTAAGCGAAATCTAAGCTGGAATGGTGGGTGTCTCTGTGAACTCTACAAACAAGCTTTGAACTTTCACCCTGACTATCATTATACTCAGGACAGATAAGAAGTTATTAGGAGCAAACCGGATAAACGAGTCGATGTAACTCTTGAGTAGGAGGTGTCTTGAAGATAGTTTTCAATAAAGTGAAGTGGTAAGTGTGACAGGATTTTCTGAAGAATCACTTTTATCGAAAACCGACATCCAGGGTGACCATACTTTTGTGAGCTAAAATGAGATGTCCAAACACTATTTTGACCTGAAAACGGGACCTTCCAAGAAAGTTTTTTTTTTTTTTTTTTTTTAATATCCAGAAACTATGAATTGTTAACCCTTTGGCTCGGTACTATGGATATTGCAACCCTTTGGGCCTCGATTTCATGATAGATACCGTAAATCTGGGAGAAATGAAGCTTTTCTGCCTACCCCCGGGCGTGAACCCAGACATATAATAATAATAATAATAATAATAATAATAATAATAATAATAATAATAATAATAATAATAATAATAATAATAATAATAATAATAATAATAATATCTTCGCAATAATAAAGTGAGCAAATACTTGCAAATATAACTTATGATTTGAGGGACATTCTAGCCCCATTATATAATTAATTTCGATACTTAGAGGGACATTTTAGCACCATTATATAAATAATTTCTTTACATGATTAGGGGGACATTCTAGCACCATTATATAATTAATTTCTATACATGATTAGAGGGACACTCTAGCACCATTATATAATTAATTTCTATGCATGATTTGAGGGATATTCTTGCCCTAATATATAATCATTGAAGATGTTTCCTTAGCCCCCCTGTCTTCAGGAATGGGTGGGGTTGCACGTTAAACGACTTGTCCCCCTCTCCCACACACAAACCCACAACTAACCATTCGCCTAGAAAAATGTGTAAGACAGTGTGAAGGGCGTCGTTTGGGGAAGTGACCTCCCCTCTCCCCCCCCCCCCCTTTCCCTCTTTTTTTTTTTTTTTTTTTTTGGTGTATTTTTTTTTTCTCTACCAGTGGCCCTGACAATACTTTATTATTTTCGCACACCATTAGGTGCATTCTTCACTAATATCGCACACCAGTACATACAGACTTTTTTTTTTAACGCACACCATTAGGTGCATTTTTTTCTTAATTTCTCACAACATTACATACAGACTTTATTATTATCAAACACCATTCGGTGCATTCATCATTAATTTCGCACACCATTACATATAGTTTTTTTTTTTTATTTTCACACACAATTAGGTGCATTATTTAATAATATCGCACACCACTGCATACAGACTTTATTATTATCGCACACCATCAAATACACACTTAAATAACATTGCACACCATCACATAATACTACAATGATATCGCACACCATTACATAATACTACAATGATATCGCACACCATCACATAATACTACATTGATATCGCACACCATTACATAATACTTCAATAATATTGCACACCAGTAAATTGACTCATGGTAATCTATCCATATTTATGCTCCTTCCAATTGTTCCTTTTACCGGTGTATTTCATCCTAGCCCCCTCCCCCCCCCCCGCCCCCCGTCCCTTGTTTCCTCCGCCACCCTCTTTTATTTCTTTTCACCTGAAAATTACAAACAAGTATCGTTTCTTACAGTGGGACGATAACTCGAACCTGAAAGTATTCGAGCCTGTCCTGGCTAGCTTTCTATAATTAGGAAGAAGAGATAATGAGACCAACATGTCTCCACCAGCTGGCAGTTTGTAAATTGTAAATATCGGATGTGCCGAATTAACTTAATCATGGAATATATTTGGAAAGAAAAAAATGTTGACAACTACGCAGTTCTGAAATAATGTACATAGGTATGATTTCTAAGTGTGGTATGTATGTCCTTGAATAATTCTCAGTAAAAGCCAACTTTTATGTTAAGATTTATAAACTGTTAATATTTTAATATTGCTATCTATTATAGTATATTCCCAATTGATCACTGTGTTTCTCTTTCTCTTCCTCCTCATTCACACCTCCTCCTCCTTCTTTTCTTCTGGCAATACTACTACCACTACTACCGTATTTTACTTTTTGTTTTTTTAAACCCACTCCTAAATAAAGCCCTACAATAATGTTTTGTTCAGGACGATTTTTATATAAGCCCCATTAGACGTATTAGCCTTAATTAAGATCGTACGAGCAGCGGGCTACAGGGACAAGAAATGCTTATTTAACGGAAGCTGAATTGCCGGAGAGTTTACAAGGATTTTTCAGAAAAAGATAATATGACTGTTCAAAAAAAAAAAAAAAAAAATAACTATATAAATTTACATTTTCTAAACGAGGGAAAAAAAAGGGGGGGGGAGGGCGAGGTGAATATCAGCCGATAATAATATCTAGCACATTTTTTTTACAAGTGAACATAATACGAGTAGTTTTTATTGTATGAGAAACATTCTGCTGCTGTTACTGCTGTTGCTGCTACTGCTACTGCTGCTGTTACTGTTGCAGTTACTACAACAACAACAACTACTACTACTACAACTACTAATACTGCTGCTGGGTGGGGGCAAACAAAAAAAGGGGGGGGGGAGCATTACCAGATAATAAGCTCTAGTATATTTTTTGAAGTAAACATAATATGACTCGTTTTTATATTATGAGAAACATACTGTTGCAGCCGCTGCTGATACTACTACTACTACTACTACAACAACTACTACTACTACTACTACTACTACTACTACTACTACTACTACTATTACCACTACTAGTACTACTACTACTAATACTGCTGCTGCTACCGCCGCTACTACTACTAATATTCCTGCTGCTACTATTGTTGCTACTGCTGTTGCTGTTGCTACCATTGCTACTTCTGCTGCTACTACTACTGCTGCTGGGTCTTTAGGTGAAGTGATTAAGCAGTATACCCTAGACTCTGAAGGTGGTGAGTTCCATTTCTGACTCGGTCAACTGTTTGTAGAACGAGGATGTTTCGATCTCATGGTGTCCTCGCTGGAGCTACGGAATTTCGCGTTTTTGTTTTTGTTGTTTCCACTTTTTGCAAAGGAAAAAAAGTCACTCTACAGTTTATCCAGAGACTCCCACCTCTACTCCACACCCTGCTCTAAATCACAGTGATTGCCCTTTAGATTGACAATCAGTGACTCAAATAGCCAATATTCAGATGCGAATAGCAGGAGCAAATCTGGAAAACTCCATTCAGTTATATAAAACAGCTACATTAGTGCGCCTGACAACTGCGAAGTAATGTTGTCCAAATTCAAATCCCTTTCTGGTTGATGTAAACCTGAATGCACCAGAGATTCTAAATTCTCAGTCCGGATGGAAAGATACCAGGGCAGATCCCCAATAATCCGTTTAACCTCCAAAGAAATTCCAGTCACAGAACTCGTAACGGCCACACAAGCCTGGTGTCACTTTCTGTCCTGTGTGAGAGAAAAACATGTTTGAAGAATGAACAACATCATGACACACGGATAGTAACCCATAAGTGCTCCGTTCTACTTCTAACTCTAGTCTAAATCCGAAGTATCTCAGCGCAGTGCACGGGCTCTGTGGCACTGGCCAGGATCCTGAAATTTGGGTAGATTTTTTCGCTCCAAATTTTGCCCGGGCAGAGCCATTAGGCTACTCTTTTTCGATTTTCAGTTGCCAAAGGATTTTTTCCGTGTGCAACAATACTCACGGGCGTCCGATCTGACTACCCAGAGACCAGGGGAAATTATTAGAAGTCTATGTGAACAGAAAAAAATCCCAGCATTCACCGGCGCCTGAGTCCGTGACCTCTAGCACTCGAGGCGGACACCATATCTCGAGACCACGCAGCCCCTGTGATAGAAAAATGTATCACATTTTAATATCGCTTAACCTTACTTCCCAAGGTCATATGTGTTCTTCGTAATTTATAGTGGGGCTAATAACTTAGCTACACTTGGAAACGTCACAGACAGACCAGGAGTGCGCTTTGGCGATTATAATCTACATAACCTGCGAGATGCAGATGCTGCAGTTTTGATAGATGTATACAATTACAGCCATGTACTGCACTTCCAAGCGAGTTACAAAACTTCTGTGAAATCTTTCATCTTTTCCTGTGGCAGCTGACAGATGTAGGTCATAGACTCTAGTTATTGATTACTGGAGAAAAACAAGCTAAGCTTTTAAACCGAAATTCTACAGAACAATTCTGAGAATACCAAAGACTAAGTAGGATTACCAAAGACCAAGAGCGAGAAACACACCGACAACCTTCATGATCTGAACATCGAGGAGAATTGGCTCAAAAAAAAGCACCGTGTCCTGAAAGATGAGATATTTTGGTCATGATAAACGTTGCCATGGCTTAAAGGGAACGACGATGGACTGTAAAGTTTCCGACAACCCAGGCAGGTAGATATTCGTGAGAATGGATACAAGGAACTGAACATGCAGATATAGGGCTGGAGAAAAGGTTAGAGAAAGGGAAACTTTCAGGCGGGCTGTGACGAGAGTGAGGTACTGTACAGTGTTTGCTGATTGATGATGACAAAGTCTTTTTAGAGATTGTGAAATACAAATAAATTACTCTTCTAAAATATCACAACGCTGAAACAATGGTTATAATGTAGAGGAAAGTAAAGACAGTGAGGGGTTACTGTAGGTTTCGGAAAGTGCACACGAAGCCACAACAGTGATTCATTATACTCTCATGTCTGACAGTTCTATGCTGCCGACCACAACAACAGTGATTCATTATATTCTCATGTCTGACATTTCCACGCCGCCCACTACAACAGTGATTCATTATATTCTCATGTCTGACAGTTCTATGAAGCCCTCCCCCCCCCCTCCCAAAACAAAAATACATTATGTTCTCATGTCTGACAGTTCTACGCCCCCCCCCCCCCCCCCAACAATAATACATTATGTTCTCATGTCTGACAGTTCTATGCCGCCCCCCCCTCTCATAACAATAATACATTATGTTCTCATGTCTGACAGTTCTATGCCGCTCCCCCCCCCCCCCTCTCACAACAATAATACATTATGTTCTCATGTCTGACAGTTCTATACCGCCCCCCACAACAATGATACATTATGTTATCGTGTCTGACAGTTCTATACCGCCCACCACAATAATGATACATTATGTTATCATGTCTGACAGTTCTGTACCGCCCCCCACAACAATGATACATTATGTTATCATGTCTGACAGTTCTATACCGCCGCCCCCCCCCTTCCACAACAATGATACATAATGTTCTCATGTCTGACAGTTCTATACCGCCCACCACAACAGTGATACATTATGTTCTCATGTATGACAGTTCTATGCCGCTAACCACAACAATGATACATTATGTTCTCATATCTGACAGTTCCGTGCCGCCCGCCACAACTACGGAGACACGTATTTCCGACGCTACTCCGGTGAATATGACAGGAGCAACGCCAGGGTGGTTCTCTTTGAGGAATCTTTCTTTAACGGCACCAGGGAGTAAGTGTTCTTTCTAATTATTCCTAACAGATATTTTTCCCTCTGATATATTTCCATCAAGGAGTTAGTGCTGCACCAGAGAAATTGTCTGATCTGTCGTATATTTCTATCAAGGAGTAGTGCTGCACCAGAGAAATTATCTATCTGTAGCATTATCCATCAGACAATAGAAATTATCTTATTCTGTCATATATTCCTATCAAGGAGTAATTTGTCTGTCATACTATTCGCAAAAGATAACATTTGTTCTGTCATACATTCCGATCAAGGAGTAAGTAAGTGTTCTATCATAGTTTTCCCACTAAATAATATTTTTGCTGTTATACATTCTCACCAAGAACTAGGTATTCTATAATAGTATTATCAATAGATCATATTTATTCTCTCATATATTTCCCTTAAAGAGTAATTGTTTTAGGACAGTATTAGCAATTTATAATAGTTATCTGTCATTTATTCCCACCAAGGATTGAGTGTTCTATCAAAGTATTACCAACAGATAATATTTGTGCTGTCATGTATTCCCACCAAGGAGTGACTGTTCAATCATATTATTACCAAAAGATAATATTTGTTGTGTTATATATTTCCACCAAGAAGTGAGTGTTCTATCATAGTAATACCAACAGATAATATTTGTCCTGTCATATATTTCCTCCAAGAAGTGACTGTTCTATCATAGTTTTACCAACAGATAATATTTGTCCTGTCATATATTCCCACCAAAGAGTGAATTTTCTATCATAGTATTACCAACAGATAATATTTGTCCTGTCATATATTCCTATCAAAGAGTGAATGTTCTATCATAGTATTACAAACAGATAATATTTGTCCTGTCATATATCCCCATCAAAGAGTACGTGTTCTAGATTATTATTTCCAGCACGGTTTAGTCCCTTTTATTCTCACAGAAAATTAAGGATTCTAATGACATTATCTATCGAGAAAAGAGAAGACACTGTCATATTTTCCACAACGGTCTAGGTTGTTTTGTATTAATTCCCACCACAGGCAAGTTGTTCTTTCATGATGTTGCCTTTAAGTAGTATGTGTTCTATAGTGTTGTGTGTTGTTTGTCCATCACGAGAGATGAAGACCAAATTTCATTCAGAATAGTAATGATGAATGATTATCAGTACAAAAGTGGCTGTTTAGTTAAATATGAGCCGAGAAAGTTCTTGAGCAGTGCGGACAACAGATGGAGGCCGCAGTAAAGTGTTGGATTAGCAATACGGTTATTTCTAGTCTACCTCAGTTTCACTGCCTGTGCAACGTCCGCTGCCTGGCAGGCTGATGCACCATGCCTGAGGGATGCATGCCATCCAGAACGGTATTGTACAACAGCCTCCCATGTCGCTGTGTTGATGCCAAAAGAATTGATAGCAATCTTGAGAGTGTAGGTGCTCTACAGTATTGCATCCAACCCAGGATGCTAGCGTCTGGATGTCGCGGGAAGGTTTGTGTGCTCCAATAATTCTCAGAGCTATGCCTATGGGGAACTTGTACCCATGGCAGGTCTAACCATGTCAGACATGCCTAGAGAAGAAGCGTCAGGCCAAGCTAGCACTCTTGTCCTCCAGGCAAGCGATTGACAATCCACTTTTGTAAACAGAGTGTCTTGGTTTGGAAACAGGATCAAGTTAAAAACAGTGCACCGGAAGAAAGAAATGAAACAAGCCGGATAAATAACGAAATGATCGCTGGGGATAAGGCAGAGGGGAAGTCAACAGCCCGACTGTAAATCTTCTTCACCAAAAAATCACTGTTAATTTTGGATGCCGGAATGCTAGAACAGGGTAGCATGTTTGAGAGTACAACCAAGTCCTCGTGAATAGTATCTACACTTACTGAGCCACAGCGAACTGGGGCATGAAGAAACCTGGAGACGGACGGTAAAAAGTGGAATGAAGAAAAACTACATGGGATACCATAGGTAGAGAAACAGCAAACCAGGAGCCGCGAAGACCACTCGTTAGGTCTTTATATATCAACAGAGACATGATGAGAATACAAACTGATATAGGCGAACTGTATTATATCTACAAAGAGAAGATATTATAATTTCTAGAGTGTCTGTTCTGTCTCACACTCTCATTAACAATTAGGTCTTCTATACAAAGTCCGTGGCGACGCCATGCAGCCTTCAATGGTCAGGGTCACGACCCCGCCTGCCAACACCACCCCCTTTAAATACAGACTGTAGTGCCAGTTTAGAAATAAATGTTCTATCACCTTTCCGACCAGAGAGAATGTATTCCACTGTAACCTTTACTAACGTGCGTGAATTCTATCAGAATGGCTACTAAAGGACATGTGTGATGTCTTATTCATTTTTGCTAAAAGCCAAAGAACAGGAAAGTGGACTCGTCCGAGATAAAGCCGTCATTGGCATGAAAGTACAAGAGCCAATTGGACTGTCTGTTAAGATATAAGAAGCTCTCCTGCCAGGCCGCAGTCAGAGAGACTAACTAGAAGGATCAGTTTCCAGATTATGATAATTAAGACTTGCTAGCAGGTATTATTCTAATGGTGTGTATTTTTTTTTTTTTTTAATATCTTCAGTGGGCACGAATTCTTGTTTCTCCATCGCGTGGACCTTGGCTTTGATCTAGACTTCAGAAACAGACGGTGCATCAGGTTTCCTTCTGGGCCATTCCGTCCTTTCGAAGTGCCTTTCAACTCAACGTTTGAAGGAGAGTTCCAGCTTGGCGGTCCTAACGAAGCTGTTGTTGTCGACAGATGGTCAGACAGGATCCCGGGCAGAAGGCGTAAGTAACCGTTGTTAATGACAAACCGTGTGTTTTCTCCACAATAATAATTAGGTGCATTTATTGAAGACAATAATTTCAAAATATGGTCTAGTCAGAAAAGATGGGCATGCGGAGAGTCTAAAATACCGGAAATGACGTAGGACTGGCCTCAGAAGTATCAACAGCAGCAGCTCTGTCTTTGCTTTAAGAGTATTATTTAAAAACGTGGTGGTTTCAGACATTTGTGTGCACTCTCCTGTTGCTAGTGCTTTTTATATCATCAACATCATCGTTATCAGCTCATTTTTTTTCTTCTTCTTTCTCTTCTTCTTCTTCTTCTCCTTCTCCAACGTTCTTTCTCAAAAAGGTGGCTGGAATATTGTATTTTGGCTTACAGCTAGGGTGTTAAATCAACGCCTAATGGGCTAAAACATCTGATTTCAGCAACGTTGCGGGTTTTTTAAATGACGTTGATGAAGTTCAAGTTGTTCATCCCTGCATAACCTGGTGAACTGTTAACTGAGAATGACTCGCTCCTACGCGGTAGACAGCAAGCAACACACAGATTTCGAGAAACGTGGTCACTTCTTCTCGCGTCGCTGTACGATTAGAATGTTAATTTGCCAGACATAAACACATATGCTGGCAAGATGCTATGGGCTCAGGAAATGAAACATTGCTTTAATGTCATGATGACACAATGAAAGAAGTGTGAGCCTTTATCTTGGTCTAAACTTAGGACTGATACACGTGGAAAGAGCTCGACTTAAAGATCCACATCTTAGTTATCAGAAGTCGATAAATATAATCACATAGATAGAAGCTTTTATTGGCAACTACTTTAACTTGCAAACAGAAGTTTATTCGTTTGTCAATTATAACAGCCAGTTTTGATACTTAGTTTTGAATATTTTAAATTATTAAATTGAATAACAGTAATTCATTTGGTAGTCTATCATTATCCTGTCGTGACGTTTATACTTTAGAGAATCCCCGGAGTGGATTGTTATCGTTTTATTCTAATCATGTGTCTGGGTGTTTGCGTGTGCTTGCGTGTGTGCGTAAGTACTAGTGCGTCCGTGTGTGTAAGTGACATCATGTGTTATACAATAATTATAATTGTAAATCTTCCTCTGAAGGTGAGACCTGGATCGGCGAATTCTCCCTGGCCAACTGCTACCCCATCAGCCAGTTTGTCGTGGATGAGACCGACTTCAACCGCACCTCCATCACCCACTTCTACAACGTGGTTCAGGGCGTGGTAAACCCTAACGACTTTGAGGTTCCACGCGAGTGCTTCAACGCAACCTACGTCCCTGAAATACCCAAAGCAGCTCTTTATGCCAGAGCTGTTTATAGCAAGAAGTTGTTTGTGTAAATGAACATTTACCATATGAAGCAGTGCCTCTTGCTGATCTTCAGGCACATGAATTGTTGTATATGTTTCCGTAAGAGTGTTAGATTTAATTATGGAACTGTAGACAACCATTCAGGCAAATAACTTTTGTATAAAGTGAGTCTCTCTGATTGTTTTCTGAAATTAGTGTGTGTTTTGATTGATTGCTACACTGATTATAAAAAAAAAAAAGACATACAGTACGTTTTATATAAGACTGGAAAACAAATATTAATATCTAAAAAGTCGAGAAACAAAAACATTAAGTTTTCTTGCCATATGTATTATATTAAGGGACCAAATAATAAACACAATACATGTTTATTTTTAATTTGTCGAGAATTTCAAAGTGCTTAGGACGCAGTAGTTGCTGCATGTTTGCAGTAGACACATTGTATTCTGTCACTCCTACAGTCGGCTGGGAATCGGCTGAAAGCAAATGTAAACAAAATTCGAGAAATGTACCACCACATCAGTCATTCGACAGACCAGTATTTAATTTACAAACCTTAGTCTGTATTTAACACTACAATAATAGCGACGGATATCAACTTTTGCTTGGATGATTTACTTTTGATGTTCCTGTGGCGACTTTTTGAGACATCAAATATAACGGTATGGTCCTAACTGCAAAAGAAATAAAAAGCACAGAATATTCATTGAACGCTTATTTCTTCTGCTCATATTTGCTTTTATTCGGCTTCATTTCGGACCCTAAACACAGTTACATTTAGGCCAATGAAAATCAAAATAATACGTATGCATCAATTTTATACATGACACTACTGCTACTCCATAATTTGTTGTTTGTTTTCAATGTTCCTGTTTACAATAATTATTATATATCTAGGATCTCACGAGTCTTTCAAGTGTGCCAGGAATTCAGAAAACCAGTTTTATTTCAGTAAACATCAATATATAGCTATTAGTCTGTCTTGTGTTTTATTTTAACATACTATCACATCGTTGTTATATTGGTTTTTTGTTTAACCTATGGGCTGTCCTGGGAAAGTAAAGACAGCCGGCGTAATGCTGACCACATTACCCACAGAGTGCTGATGGTCTGTAAAAATATGGGACGCTCTGCCTATATGCCCGATGCGCCGAAAGGCGTGAAAAGGGATCTTTACTTTTTCTATACTATGTTTGATCAACAGGCAGAACTGGTGCAAATGCGAAATCGAAAAATTCCCATGGGATCAATAAAAGCAGCAGAAAAATCAGTAACACGTGCATTTATAAAACATCTGCAGTTAAATTAAGTTAATGTAGATAGAATGCGAATTCAAATTGAATACTCTCTCTCTCTCTCCCCCCCCCCCCCTTTTTTTTTCATTCTCTCTTACCGATTTAACACAGTAATCTGTATGTTTGTCTTGCCTTTTCTGTATGTGTTGTGTGTCCGCCAGATCAACTGATTATCTCCCCTGAACAATGCTCCTTAACAACTAAACAACGTTAACTAGTATTATCTATTTCTGGTGATAACTACACAATAAGTACACACGTGTAATCATGTTTACAAGCTCACCAAATGCAAGTCTGTGATTAACATTCACGCATAAAGTGGATATGTGTGTGCAATTCGATATATTTACATACACACACGTTCACATACACAAACACATTTTAACTGATGGGTCACAACAGTGCATAATTTGATGTGAACTGAAGTGAGGAAGATGTGAAAAGAGTACGAGTGATCAATAACATAGTCATTACGTTTGTTTTGACGATTTCTTTTTATAACAAGAATTTTACAATTTCTGAAGGGAAATGTGGGATGTTTGGAGACTTTTATAAACATATGCTACTTTTTGTTATGTAGTCAGTTATATGGGCATACATATAGATTACGATAGGACTGCAACTCTCTGAAAGATCTAGGCAAATAGTATAGAGAACGTAAAACGAAGCAAGACTGTTACCAGCCTTTTGGCTGATAAAGTTGTCTGCACACAATGTGAAAGATGCCTGTAAGAAATGGCAAGACATGGACAAGTATAATCGTTCGTTTTTGTCGGCAAGGCAATTTATTATTTTAAGTCTGAATTAAAACAAATCAGTAAATGTTCATAAATGTTCATCCAGGCGAACAGACATTTGTTTCGTTTCCATTCTCCAACAAATATTGACACTAGTTTGAGCAACCAGTAGTCGATTCTTGTTATTCGTTGCTATGGATTTAGTCTAGGGCGCCGGAATTTGGAGGCTCAGGTACCTTATTAATGCACAGTTAAACAAAACTGAGTCTCCCTAAGGCCCTAGATGATTTTCATAGATCGAGGGGCGGGGGGGGGGGGGGTGGGGCTTGTGGCCCTCTCATGATCTAAGCTTGATTAGTTGCGCATTATTAGCATTATTAATATTATTATTAGGGAAAGAGATTGACTCCTGCTTCCCCCCCCCCCCAACTCCTCATCAGAAATTATTTCTCTGTGGCGGCCGCCCGATTTTAACCCATCTGTATGTATGTTCTACGTATCTTAACTGAGTACATGTTGAATATGACATTAGCAACAGTATTCTGAATGATGATGTTCTATTTACGTCTGTTGTCATTTTTTTTTATCTACTTTTATTTCTATTATTATCGCTTTTCTTGTACCTAACCTAATGTTTTCTTATATATATTTTTCAAATCTTATTGTTAATTTGTGAATATATGATGCTCTATGTACCTGTGCATACAACTGAAAATGTAACTGTGCCATGTCTTACTGACCTAAAAAAAAAAGAGAGATGGGTGGTCCGGGTTCACGCCAGGGGGTAGGCAGAAAAAAAAAACATTTATCAAAATTTATGGTACCTATAATGGAATCAAAGTCGAAGGGTTGCGATATCCAAAGGGGTTAACAATTCATGGTTTCTTGATTAAAAAAAAAGCTCCTAGCTGATACATAACACAGTTTGAGACCCTGTGAACCAAATACCTCACTCCGGATGGCAGACCATCAGGACCTGAAGGTCCGACACAGTAAGGCAAAAACCATCTCGTTGCTGGAATGTAATCCAAGATCTTCGTTCAATCTTCCAAGAAGTTATAATTGAAGCAGCCTGTGCTGGTGAGGATGACATTGCAAGACGACGTGTGAAGAGCAGTACATGGAGTATCATGTGTCACAGATTAACACAAGGCCGTACCGTGCAATACTCAAAGGTATGAGTGTAAAGTTGGTGGCAATCGGTTGCCTCGACTGGGAGAACATGTTTAAGCGTTTTCTGAGTAGCAGAATGCGAATGAAAGTTTGACAAATGTTGACAGAATGACACTTCATATATCAATTCCTTGTATAACCTCCCTTTAAAATATAATAAAAATTATATATCTATGTATGTTTGTTACCTTCCTTCGTTATTCACCCGCTTGCATTTCCAAAAGCGCTCTTATATATTTAGAGGTGTCTGTAAAACAAATAAGTAAAATGAAATATTTCAATCGTGCTTTTGAAATATATATACACTCAAAAAACAATTTTTTGCATTGTGAATTGTAACGCTTTGTTCTTACCTTCCGCTGTATGCTTGTTATGTAAGCTATCACCAACCGGTTGCCCGGTAAATAATGAAGATTTTCCGGTCAACTCCTACTGGGGATGCCTACCATTAGGTTACTAAGATCTCTGCTGCATCGAAAGAAGGGGCACTAATGAGTCGGCCAGATGTGTTGGATGTCTTTACGTACAAGTAATAAGTAGCAACTATAGACACTATGTGATTTTAGATTACAAGTTTAAAGCAGTGCCAAAATTAAATCCTGATCTATAAAAAAAAAAATATTTTAATTAATGTAATAATAATTCGACTAATGTATTTTGCCAATCGTATCTATACATGCGAGCCATTGAAACAATACTACTGTACATGCCATACTTTTGTTTGTGTCTTCTTTAAGTTGTTTATCGTTTTGCAGTGTATTTTGTGCACGGAGGTTCGACAGGTGGGAGCTGGGTGGACATAGACAGCGCATATAGACGCGAAGACAGCAAAGAGAGAATTCAGCCCAACTACTTCTAGCATGGTGAGCCGACGGAGTCTGGCGGCTAAACGCCCGACTGCGGATTGCAAGGTCGTTGTTCGGGTCCTGACTGAGCAGGACTTTTTTTTTTCTTTAAAAAAAAAAAAAAGACTGTGGCTCCGAGGTCAACCCAGCCTGGAGTGGATACCAGGTAAAGTCCTGGGAAGTAAAGGCAGCCGGTACGATGCTGACCACATCACCAACCCAGTGCCGATTGGTCTATAAAATATAGGTCTAGCCCTATGTGACAAATACGGCTCAAGGCATGGAAAAAAAGTCCTTTACTTTTAGCATGATGATGGAGGTAGCTTTTGTCCAACGGGCACTTGCGCGGCTGGCAGACAGAATGTGAATCACGCTCTGATAGTGACAGACTTAGTAAGCATGCTTGATAAGATCAATATGGCAAAATCTGCACACAAAAGATTGGACTGACAGAATCCTGAATTGCCGTCTTAAAAATATATTAACTGTACACACAAGAGGTGAAAGAAACTGAGCCAACGACTGGCAATGTCTGCTGAAGGTATTGGAGGAAGAAGTATGAATAGGGCAGACATACTGAAAGTCGTTGATACAATGAAGTCAGGCAAAGAACAGCCCGGTAGGAATGGATAAAAAACAAGACTAAGCATGCAGAAACCAGCTGAAGGACAGACAAAAAAGATATGTTAGTCATCGCCTTTTGGGTACCTAGAGCATGGAGACACTGAGATGGCTGCTGCATAGGAAGACAGAGCAGCAATCGATCCAGCTGGTGTGCTGGCATGACGATACGGTTAACAAGTTGTGCATTAATACTTGTCAGTGTGCCTAGGTGTGTGTGGTGTGTGTGTGAGTGTGTGTGTGTGCGTTTTCTCAAGTTTTATTTTTTTTAGAATCATGAAAAAATAGTTGATTCATGAACTATTAGTTCCTTTCCCGCAATTTCATTAAAAATCAATGTCCTTGATGGTACTGATTC